TAGATGAAAAGATATATAAATACTTTTATATTTGAATAAATAAAAAATATACGATAAAAAAATTTAATCAAAGGGCCCCAAAAATTTGAATGGCCTGGGGCCCCGCGTAAACTTAATCCGACCCTGCGTACAACTATGGATTATTTGCGTGATATGGCTCAGAATATTCCATTGAAATGTGATATATCTAGAAAAAAAATAAATGAAAAAAGAATTAAAATATAAAAAAGGAAAAAAGAAGAAAAATTGTAAAACAAAAAATAAATAATTTTTTTTCCTTCAAAAAATATTTAAAAAAATTGAGAGGAGACAATAAAAATAAATAAATAAATGAGTTCTTGGGTCAACATGTCTGTCTGGAAAACTGAGTTTAGTCTATAAAACGGTCTAGTTTTATTAGTTTATTTTCAATCTTCTATATTTGTGTATTAGATACATATTAGTGTAAATATAAATCAGTACGAATACTATATTAACCAGCATAAATAATATTTTTTGTGGATAAAATTTATTTTTTTAATAAAATCTTCTGGGATACGTATGGCACTGTCATTTGAGGCTTAGCCCCATCTACGAGTCTAACTCAAATAATTTTAAAGTAGCATTATAATATGGAAACCAAAACACAGTGAATTTACCGCATATAAGATGTTACGATTAAATTTTGTGGATATTCACCATTGAAAAATTCTATGATTTTTGTATTGATGATTGGTATGAACTATTTTTCAAATCAGCTGAAAGAGACAAATCAATAATTAAAAAACTACAAAACTCCATCCTATAAGATTTACTATTGCATTTGCTGAAAATAATAAATAAGAGTGTGACTCTCGAATCCATCACCATTAAAATTTGATAGTGTAAAATTTTTAATACATTTTTTTTTCTTCATTAAAGTCATTGAAGCCCCCAAAAAGTCTGAAACAATTCCCGTCTGAACCATGCATACAAGTAGTCAATGGTCGCTAAGTTCCAACTTTCGAATTTTATGATTTTTACTGACGTGATAATTAAATGACAAAATATGTTACATTAAAAATCTAAATACACATTTGTACTCTTAATAATATGTATTTTTAGAAAATGGAATGTTCTGAACATGCCAAAAAAATCAGGAATTTTAAGACACAAAGCTAAAATAAACCAGGACAAAATATCTTTTATCAGGAAAATGGGAAATATCAGAACAACATAGACTCCTGCTAATAGGAAACTTAATCAAAAACTTAATAGGAAGTAATTTTTTTTCCTTTTCATAAATTACTAAAAGAAATCTCTTTTTTTTCCTAATTTTTAGCTGGGAATTTAAAAAAAAAATTATATATCAAGAATATCGTTGAAACAAATTTGTCTTTTATGCACAGATACTCTGAGGAAAATTAAATTTTTTATTTAATTAAGAAATCTAAGTTATTGTGCAAAAGTGTTATAGACGAACTTCTTTTTAAAAAACTTATATATCAAAAACATGTGTCACAAATTTTGTTTTACCGTAGGAATACTTTAAATAAAATGAGAAAACACTTAAACTATCAGTAGGAAGGTCTTCCAGAATTAAGTTGGAAGTAAATTTTCTTTTCATAAATTACTATTATTTTTTAAAAATTACTTGAACTTTTTTTTTTTTTTAATATGCAAAATATTTGTATCACACATTTCTTTTTTAAGTACAAATACTTAAAAAAAAAATTTTGTTATAATTTTGTTTAATTAAATTTCTTATTGCAAGTTAGTTACTGAAAGAAATCTTAACTACAAAACATATAGATTCTAAAGTGCTCAGTGGGAGATATTTTCTTTTAAAATACTAAAAATACTTGAGACAAGAGATTTTTTTTTTTTCTTTTGACATAGAGATACTAAGAGATCATCGAAATTAAATAGAAAGCTCATATGTACTAAAATTAAATATGAAGAAAATTTTCAATTCATAAATAAATAAAGGAAAATTCAAATAAGAAAAAAATTTCAAGTGTTTTAGTTAAGGTAGTGCAATGAATACTTTTGGCTAAATTTTAGTATATTACAAAGAACAATTCAGAAATTAAATTTTACAAATTTGCACCTAAATATAACATGTAAAAGTTCTTTTGTTAAAATGTGTCATACAATTTTCATTTAAGTTGCAAATTTTTTCCAGCTATAACAATCATAAGATTATTATTTTTTTTAGGAAATTGAAACATATTGAAGAGCATTATTTTAGAAATCAGTTTCACAAACTTAAACATTGAAACTGATAAAGTATAAACATAAATATTTTGTGCAACATAATTTTTCTTTTTAAATTGTATCAAACATTAACCNAAAAAAAAAAAAAAAAAAAAAAGACCGTTGAAGTACAAATGAAAGTTTGATTAAAGCTTCCCACATTACATGACATATTCGATAAATAATCCAAAGAAACTGAAATAGTATGATATACTTTATTAAAAAACTTCATTGGCTTATTAAAAATATGAATATAGAAATAAAAGTTAACATTTTTCAAGCGCTTAAAGACAGGCACCAACTTGCTAGACATGAATGAGAAGAAAAAAAAATGATTTGAAATCTGCGATGTAAAGTTGTCAACGAAAAAATTTAAAAAGAAAACTAGAAAATCTGCGGTATCCGAGAGTAAAACCTAATGATTCGTATCATTGAACACTTGAAACATGTGCAAGTTAACTATTATTTCCATCTTCATATTCAAGCAAATGAAGCATATTTAAGCAGTCTTTTTTTTTCAATCAAAAACTAATAACATAATTGAGAATTTTTTTTAAAATTGCTTAAGAAATACTTAGCGGATTATTTTGCAATTTCAGATGTGTTTAGAGTGGCACAAAGTTCTCTTTTATGNTAAATGCTTGTAATAAATAGGAGAAAATGATATTTTCATTTATTTAAAAGGGACGGATTGGTTTCAACGGAGGACGGGTGCATTGTTGGACAAGCCGTCCTCGGGGACGGGCAAAATTTCTGAGTTTTTTCGAGCCCTGGTTTATAGCTTTCAGGATGTTTGAGAGACCGATAATAAACTACAAATGAAAATAAGTATTTTTGAAAATACAGCAATAAACTTGTAACAAATACTTTGGTTGTTATTTGCAACAATTGAATATTGATGGAGATATGGACATAACAAAAAATTAATCTTTTTGACTCACATTTTTTTGTTAATTTTAAAACATTTTTAAAATTAACTACAAAATTATCAATTTAAAATTTGTAAAAGAAATAGTCAGAAATTGCTGGTAATTTTCTACTTAATTTTTGTGCATATTTCAGAGAAAGGCCTGAATGTTAAGGGGTTTTCCATAAATAGCGAGACCACAGACATTATATGGGAGATCATCTCCCATACAAGTTCTTTTAATATGTTTTCTTTCCTTATACCATCGCATTTTGGTGTATGGACAATTAGTGTAGGATATTATCAAGCATTATTTAATTTTGTTTTATGATACAAAATGAAATTTCTTTTAATAAGTACAATGATTACATATAAAAATGCTAGAAATGTATTAAATTTTCAAGATATTCGGATTGGACTCTTTTCATTATTTGCTACATGTGATTCACTAAAAAGAAGAATGAGAAAAATTATTCATATTTTATCCGTACCTACACAGTATGAAAGAACTACTTTAAATGCTCATATCTTCCGAAATGTTTTTAAAAATGATAATTTTGTACCTAACTTAAAATTGCTTCAAAAATTTCGTTCGATTTATTGAATATTTTAAAAGTTATAGCAAAAAATATAGGATTAGTTTCTTATAAAAATGGCTGCATCTCCATAAATATCAAAGCTAAGTTTATGAAATTTTATGCAATCATTGCAAATAACCAAGTAATCAATCCAAGCCTCTCAAAGTTTTAAACTTTAATCATAAAGATAAGAAATCACATGACCTAAACACCTCTTAAGGTACAAAATAATCTTCCAAGTAGTCTTAGGAAATTCAAAAAAAAAAAACAACAACAAAAAAACAAAAAACAAATTAATAATAATAATAAATTTAAAAAAAATGTTGAAAAACTGAAAGTCTCTCTTCCATTATTGGGTAGAGTATATTCAAACTTTTTAAAAGAGATATGTTTGTCCTATGAGAGAAATTTTTGTAAAATTATGAGCTAGTAATTTTAACAGAAATAGCAGTCTAGAATTAACTTTCATTTTTCTTAAAATGTTACTTAATGCCACAGAAAACTATAAAAAGTTCATTTCAATTAGGTTAAACTACAAAACATATACTTTCTCATAAAGCAGACTTTCAATGCAAGTCATTGCTTAAAATGGTGCCACACATTTTTAGATTGCAGCTAGTATTTTCAGAGAGAAAAGTTACATGCATCATTTTTTTATAGGTAAAATCGCAATTAAAATTGCAATGTTACAAAGCACATTTTAGATATTAATTTTCGAAGTTTGCACGGGAAACAGAATTTTATGATTCATAAATAAATTTTTAAAATTTGCACGACAATCAAATATTTTTTGTAACTGGTGGCATATACTTTGGAATTGTGCATTAACTTTATATGGAATATCCTATGGTTAATCATTTTTAGTTATTTTCACAACTTCAGAAACTCATTATTTTTAGGATGTCTATAGAAATCATTCTTTAAACTTGATTCATAAAAGACAATCCTATAAATAGTTTTATTTATTTTTTAAATAAATGTTATCTTAATGAATGCAGTTTTATTAAAATTAGATATAATTTAATATCAGGTAGTAATTTAATATCGGGCAATGATTTTCATTTGCGATAAAGCAAATGTTAACACCATAAAGCATTTATAATGTCTAAGTGTGATCTAATGATTACATTATTACACACTAAGAATCTATCTTAATTGTTCCAGAACTTCACCATAAGTATGCCAATTAATTAGTGCAGGCTATTTTTTAAAGTACAAAATTAGACAAACAAAACGAATTAGAAATGAGTAACACTAAAATATAAATAATGAAGATTAAAATAATTTTAATAGAAAACAAGAAAAAATGGAAAAATTTTATTTTATCAAACTTACTTACAAACATTTTTTTTAATGTTCAAATGACACAGTTGTATTTTGATTCGTGTGATGTAATATATTGAATAATCTTAACAGTTAAAATATCACTAATTGAATCAGCTTGTAAATACATATATACATTATTATTTTTATTTCCAGATAAAAGCACACATATGATTTCGACAACATGCATAATTCAATTTTAAGCGAATAAAACATATAAAATTTACTTTTAAATTACATTATTTTAGATTATAAAATAATTAAACTCAAATATGGTTAAACTTTAAGTGAAAAACTTTTAACATTAATGTCAATACACAATATAAACACAGTAAAGCAACAAGTATTTAGAATTTTAATATAATATCAGTTCTGAATATAATTTTGAATGAATGAATTTTTCCTTCAAGATAAAAGACGGTAACAACCTAAACAAATCAGCATTGATTTTTTTTTCTCCAGAAAATAAAACAGTCAAGTTCAATTATTCAAGTGCGGCAGCACAAAGAAAAGAGGACCCTTTTTAGTTAGCTGTAAGCAAGCGAAATGTTGCCAAAAAATGTGGATCTCTGCCAACTTTTCTTAAAATAGTTTAATTTATTTTTTAAACACAAAATAAAATTAAAATAAATAAATAATTGAATTTCCTTGCGCCTGGCTAACTGAAAAGTACTGAGTTAACATAGATTTTTGAAGCTCTTTCGCATAGAAAAATTGAGGAAAGCAATAATTTAAAACTATACCATCTTCTCGCAAAGAATTATCAGGGACTTAGAACAGAAAAATAACTTAAACATTTTAAAAGCTAAACTTATTCAAAAATTGCCAATTTAACAAAATTTTTCTATCTAGATTAAAATTAATGCCTTATTCAAATTTTTTGCAAGTTTTTATGAGGCCAGATATTGCAGCAGTGGAGTGAGTTTTTGAACAATAAAAAATTAGAGCTCTCAAAAAACAGCCTTATTTATTTCTCATAGGAAAAATTCAATAAATGCAACATCACTTCGTTACACATAAAAATAAGCAGACTTCAACTTTTGACTAATAACAATTAAAAAAAAACATGCCTAATTCTTAGGTTGAAAAATTGCCACATTAACGTACATACAGATTTATTATGCCTAATTTAATCAGACAAGCAAATATAGCAGGTATAAAAAAACTTACATGAAGGCATAATTTACTTGTAATTTCAAACAGACAACAAATTCTAAAATAAACTTCCCCTCTTTCCATTTTATAAAAAAATATAAAAATGTGTGCTTCAGTGATATATATTTAGGAAATAAATAAATGATTAATTTTTGGAAGCATAAATCAATACAAATCGTATATCAATGCTCATACATACATATTTACCATTTCTAAAAAAATAAGACAGCTAATGTCAATTACTAGCATGATATTGGTGGCATAATGTCAGTAATAACATAAAATTTGTTTCATGTAAAGAGATAATTTCTTAATTATAACAGTTCGAGTATTCACTTTATTTTTTGTCCTTTTTTATGTAAACTTCATGCTTGTATTTGATGCCATTTTCTTCTTGTACATTTTTAAAATAATTGAGGTGATCATGATTTGAAAAAAAATCTGGTTCAAATTCCCTAAAAAATTTTTAAAAGACTTTTTTAAAATATAAATAAAACAAAGCTACTAAAAAAACAGAAATCTCATAAAATATTAACTGTTTGCTTAAAGTGATTTTTTTTAAAAAATATTTTATTAATTCCTTCCTGTTTTAAAGAAGGATGCCAACAAGCAGTGATATTTTTTATAGAAGCAGAGCCATCTCTTTTTTCAAGAATTTCTAAAGTAACGAACAAAATATTGGATAGAAATATTGAAACACAAAATATTCTACATAACACACAATATTATCTATTATTCCATACAATATATTTGTTTAAAATTATGTTACATTCTATAGGCTTACAAACAATTAGAATTTTTATATTGGAAATAATCCATCAAAATATATTGCACTACAATTTTTTTTTTTAACAATGTCTTTTATTTCAAACTTTTGAGAAAAATGTGCAAAGGATAAAAAATTAATTAAGATCGAATATCAATAACAATTTCAATATTGAATAAATATTATGATTATTTTATTACTGACTTATTAATAATAAAATTAAATTGTAAATGAGCTAATCTTATCATTAAATTATATTTATCGAACATGGGAATAAAAGAAAAAAGATCAGTTTAAATCTGATAAATTGAAAAAACAAGCTTTACAGAGCATATATTATTTTACTATAATTAGTGATTAGTTCATATCATATAACATAGATACACTAATTACTCATTATAAAAATTAATAATTTAAAATAAAAATAGCATATTATAGCCAATTAAATTGAGACAAACTTTTTTAATACACTGTATTTTCAGAAGTATTCTAACCGGGTTTCTGGTAAAATTAAGAAACAAATAAATTTACTAGTTATAAAATATTATTAAAAAATTATATCAAACGTTTGACACATAAATCTGCTGGTGCACTATTTTTTCCCCCCGAAAATACAGTGTTCCAAAGGACAACTCAAATTTTTTTTCTCTCTTCGAGACACCTCTAGGAAATTACGCACTATAATGCATATTGTATTACAAGTTATCGCATTTAAGTGGAATTGCTGTCTGATTTTTTTAACACTTAAACTCAATAACTAAAACTCAGTGGCTCGACAGCCCATAGAGGGCCAAGGCCTACTGTGCCCATCCCAGTTTTCTTGACCTTGGGCTCTGGGGTGCAGGAGCAGATGTACTGATTTGATTATCAGCCGAACGAGGAACCCCCAGTGTTTAGTTCCCAAGCATGCTTGGTACTCATTTATCGATCCACTGAAGGGATGAAAGGCTGAGTCAACCTTGCCCGGCCCGAGGATTGAACCCAGGACCTGTAGCACGGGACCGTGAAGCGCTACCACTCAGCCACCGGGCGCCACAAACTCAATAACATAGCTAATTAATTTACTAAGAAATAAAAGACAAAAAAAATTCGGAAGAAACCCCAGATAAATAAGAGAATCATACTCAGTCAATTGAAAACTGTCATCCATTTTTGGGAAGTAGGTATCACAATGAAACTTTTCATGAATTCTTGTGAGGTATATGATTTGATGGTGATCAGAATCCATGGCAACCTATAAAACATTGAAAAATTATTAACACTAATAGAGATTATTTTTATAAAAACAGAACCTCTCTCATATGAGGCATGAAGCAAAATTTTTAAAACTGATAAAAAAAAACCTCATTATTTGCTTTAATGTTACTTTTAGTTCAAGTACATAAAATAACAAACATAAAATCAAGAACGTATCTGCGTTATTATAACATATAATGTTATCCCCACCTAATACATTTATTTCAACATAATTGTAACTATGATTATCTTTCAGATATTTAACACATTCATGAAGTTTTTCTCATGCATTTAACACTTTACAAAAGGAAAAGAAAAAAAATTTTATTCTGTACTCTTCTATTGGCATGTATACGATCAAGAAATTACATTTCAATTTTGTTTTTTTGTCAATAAAAATAAATATTTTTATACAAAAATATACATTTGGATAATATTATTTAAATGCACCAACTGAAGACTGTATAAGGCTAACTTCATTTAATTTGCAAAAGTATATACAGGAGATGTTTATGACTTAAACCTTGAAACATGAGACTTTGAAGAAATACATAGAATTTTGTTTTATATAGATCATTTGACATATTATTAAACTAAAAATAGCGAAATATATATCTGGAGCAGATCAATATTAAATGTTTTAAAATAATTTAAAAAACACAAATAGTTTAAATCGTAAACTATGCACTTAAGTATTTACACAAAAAAGTTTAAACCATCAAGAACACTAGAAACAAATTATCAATTTTGGAAAGTTAATGCAACTTATGAAGAATTGTGGTTTATGAAATCGCATTATTTAGATTTTCTACAGTAACATAAGACAAAAAATGCTGTTGGAGTAGAAAGTCTTTTGAAAAAGAAAAACAAAATGGAAAGTTTCCCTTCTGATGTAAAGAAGGGGCCATTCATTTTACTAAAAAGTGAATAATTTACACAGTCAGTACCTCTTACTGTGCAAACTCACCTATATTTTTCCATTTAGTGAAGATAGAAAGAAATTCATTTAGGAGTTTCAAATGAAGAATTTTTCAGTGAAATACAGCTTTATTTTCCATTAAAACACCATGCTTCCAACAAAAAAGTTCTAATTATCTAAGAATAATGGAATGTTTAATGACAAAATTTCAACGGGGAAAGATTATATTACCACATAAAATAGTAACTATCGATATAAACTCAAAGGGCAAAACAGTGAAAATTAATCAGAGAATGACCCCTTAATAAACTACATTAAAAAATCTAATTTGATAAATTTTTATGCATTTTTTTTTAAAGTTTATGATAAAATTTCCAACTGTGTGATAATTTTTTAATATTCCCAGCAAAAATATAACAAAAAAAGAGACAAATAATTTTTAAAATAAATTCAAACAAATGATTCTAAAAAGCGATTAAAAAAGAAAACTATGAATCTAAAGAAAAATCTCATGTCTGAATTATGAAAAAATTGTTGAAAATAAAAGCAAGGGCCCTCCTTACTGTAGAATTCAAAAATTCTACATGTTTTATTTACCTTTAACTTTTTAAATTTCTTTTATTTTTGGTAAACTTTATTATTCTTACTTGTAAGAGTTCAGTTTTTTTAGGTATTTAATTTAATTTAAATTTTAGACTAATAACTTTTTCTTTTTAAAGATTTATTTAACTGTTTCTTTGAATAATAGTGAACAGGTTTGTTTTTTTTAAAACATTTGTTCAGTTAGTTTCTTTTTTAGCAGACAGGTGGCAGCATCAATCATGACTTAACTTCAGTTTATTCAGTTGAAGTTGTTTTTTTTTCCTCTGCTGATTTGATATGTTTTTGTAATTAAATTTTTAAATCAACATATGCAAGGTATTTAAATCGGTTTTTAAATCAACATATGCATTTCACAACATATGCAAGGTATTTTTATTTTGTAATTATCTTTCAATTTTTGTTAAAATAATTTTATTTTTGAAAAATTATTTCTGTTTGTGAGTTTCGAGGTGTTGGCAATGGTGGCGTTTTTGGAAAGTATATAAAAGGAAGTGTGCGCGGTGTGCAAAAGAAGGCTTGCTCTCTCTCGCTCTCCTACCTGATAGACGTCGTGCTCCACGAGTTTTTGGCTGAAGAAAGAAAGCCATGTGGAATTGGAAAGAAACACGTGCCGAGCGGCACAGAAGCTTACATGATTAGTATGAAAGGAAGATAAAATGGTGATCAAGATCTGGTTCATCTCCATGATCCATGAGGAAGTGCCAGCAAGTCCGTGCCAGGGGGCACGTGGTATGAATTCGTTTCCTTTTTAATTGCAATAGTAATAGTGTGAATGCAGCTACCGGACAGTTATTTTTCATCTCATGAACTTTTAGTTTAGTAAATTGTAAACCTTGCCAACTACCCTGCATTTTAAACCCATAAAACCTAAAATTATATTTTCTAATCCTGATAACCATGCTATTATAATAAATAATTTTTTTTTATCTTAATGATTGGAGTCATTTCTCAACAGAATTTTGGTTTTCCTTTTTTTTTTCCCATTGTATTTAAACATGTTTTAGGTAATGAAGAAAAGGGGGGGGGTATTTTTTGTTTCAGCATGTGTATTTTAAAGCTTTAGGTAAGTGATTTTTTTTTATAAATAAATCTGTTTTTTGAATCGAACCTTTCGGCAAATTTAGGTTAATTTATTTTTTTTTTCTTTTGTGTACTAATGTTAATATTTTTAAAACTATACGATCTTTATGTTTTTTTTTTGTTGTTTCGGCCTAAACTCTAACTAATTGTACCAAAATTTTTACTCACGGTACATTACTGCATTTACTACTGATTGATTAAATATTCAAAGCCACCTTCTGCAAATTATTTAGATCTTTCCCTTAAGCATAAGAACCAACTTTACTACATGATGGGTATACTTCAGAAAAGCAACTATTCTTAGAGCAAAAGCATCTCTTGTCAATGATTTGGTAGTAACATTTAAATTTTCAGTCCTTAAATCAGAAATGACCTTAAATCAGAAATAATTAAGAAATTTGGGATTTTGATCCAACACATTATCAACGTATTTCAAAAGCAATAATTTTGAGCAACAAAAAAGGAACTAGAGACAAATAGTGAAGAGCTTGCAAATCAAATATCAAATGTTTTCCCCCTCCCCCTATTTTTAAGCGAACAATATTTAGAAAATATTAATTAATTTAAAAAATTCAACAGCATAGATAAAGTTCATGCGTGTGTAATGGGTTATCATGGAGTTAAGCTTTTCATTGAATACATGTTTGAGAGAACAAATGTAATTAAAATTTTTGATATTTTGATGTTTCAACTTTCTTCTCTGATATCTTCGATTTCGCTGCACCAAATTTGATGGTTAAAAAAAAATGATAACAATCCTAAAATTAAACAGTGATCCAACTTAAAAGCTGCATTATTGAGAGCAGGGATGAACAAGTAATGGCTTGTGAGCCAAAAGCGATTCTCAGGGATGTGATTGACAAAAAAGAGGAAGTTTATAACTGTAGCACTAAACGTGCAAAAGAAAATTATATGAATTCAATAGCCAATCTGATACTGATTACATAATTATCTATTCAAATAAATATAAATAAATGGTACTTATGTTCTTAAATAAAATCTTGATTAATATAATTTTTTTTAATAATTTAGATAACTTTGAGTAATCATGCATGAATCATAAAGGCACGATTTTATGTATCACATCATTTTAAAAAACATTTCTTTAATGGTCAAAGGACATTTGCGGACTATCTCATCAATTCTTTGTTTTTTCGATGGTCTTTCACTAACATGACTGATCTGTAGACTGCGTTTTCCAGACTTTTGATCATCAGTGTTGGTAGGACAAGAAAGTTCATTTTTCGCACAATTTTTTGAGACCTTAGATTTTAATTTTTTTAAGTGCCTCTGAAATTTGACAGCTTTTGCTGATATTTTTTTTGCAGCCTCCTTTGATACCAGCTTTTTTCATTTTATTTTAATTTTCCTTATTGCAATTAACAATTTATTTACAGATGCAAAATCTTCTCTTCGAGCAGGAGAGTCTTTAAAAAACCAGTAAACAGATGATGCAGCATGCTCTACTTCCGGAAAAGCAGCAGAGCAACCACCCCAAAAGACATTATGCACTGTGTGCAGTCCACATGAACCTACATTCAAGAGACTCACATTGTGTTCATTCTTCATTTTTTCCATCATTATGTCTAGCACTTTTAGGTTGACATTCGGACCATCCATAGATAATTGTAGTAAACTTTTACACAAGCATTTCTCATTTATTTTTTCAAATAAATGTTCAGATGTGGCATGGCCTAGAAAGTCTGAAGAATAGTAGCGCATATTTATTTGATTACCATCCCAAAATATTACATGACAATCCAGCTGTTTGAATTGATTAACATCATTTAGACTTTCATAAAAAAGCAGTACATAATTGGTTTCCTCTTTCACCCTTGACTTAAGTAGTAAAATATGGCGCTATGCCAAAAACTGAGAGGTAGGCAGTTTTTTCTCTCACCACAACTGAAATTGCTTGCTATCTCGCCATCAGAAAACATAACTTAAAAAGAAAATTTGAATTTTCACAAAATTTGCAGGAATAATATGAGCTTAAAACCTTTAAAGTCCATAAAATTTCAGCTTTTGTAGTGAGGCTATTCAAATTAATTGCTCGATTCACATTATAAACCGGCACAGGAACATCACTTTGAACTGAATATGAAGTACTTGGTTGGTTAGGAGATCCAACACTACGATCTTGAGCTGAGCAAAAAGTTCTTAAATTCACAACTTTTTCTTTATTTTCTGCCAACTTTTTATGATTAAGCCCTTTCATGTAGTACTTTAAGGCTGTTTCGTCCATATTCCAAACATTGATAACTTTATTGCACAGTGAGCAACGTGCTTTATGTCGAGATTCGGGAACACATAGCAGCCAATCTTTAAACAATTCATTTGCTAGCCAGTCGCTATTAAAAACGCACTTTCTTCCAGGCATACTTGTTGTAGTTGTAAATACAATGGAGATGAAAAAATAATACTCGATTGCTGTTCAACGCTTAATCCAATACATTCGGGTGCACACGAACAGATTGTTTACATTAATTGTAATAGTAACTTCACTTCAAATGATCTTAACGCTGGCACTACTGAATGATCATTCCGCTTTGTGAGCATTCACACTGTACTGAGTCTATCGGCATGACTGGTAAGACAGGCATTTTGGGAAGACGGAAGGGATGATTAATTATTTTCTCCATTTAAGAGTAGTTTTTTATGATTGTTAAAAAATTTTCAGGAGATAAAACGTAATTTTCAGGAGTTAAAACGCAAATTTCAGGAGTTATAAGGGCCCTTAGAAAAAAAAGAGCTAATTTCAGGAGGTTTTCAGGCATTTCAGAAGGCGTACTAACCCTGTGTATAAAAAAATTTTCATCAAAAAAGAGCGGAATATATATATATATATATTCATTACTCATTTTTTTACACCTTATTTTTAAAATTTAGATTTAAAAAAAAACTACTGAAATAATGGGCATATATTATAACTTGTAATATCTTAGATTATTTTAATAGTGAAATTTCATTCATCAAACAAATATTGTTTTTATTAAACCCAGATTAAAAATTTAAATTAATTTCAGATAGTGTATAAGATGGTCATATCATAGTTCAACTTCAGTTGTATTATTTTGAGAAACAGAACTTTAAAAGCTTATCGAGTATATTGTTTGTCCTGAATTGTGGAGCCTCCAGTTTGGCAGCAGAAATAAGCTGGAGGTGTACTAGGGTTAAAAAATAAGAAAAAAATGAAACTTAAATAAGAGGTTGTGGCGTAACTACCACAACAAATATTAAATATCAAATCAGTAGTATATAAGACATGTTAACTCGATTCTATCTTGAGGTACCTTTTGATAGAGGAAGGTTGACATTGTCTATGAATAAATCCTTTCAAGGTTAACTCCATTTTAATAAGTGGAGTCTTTAAAGCATGTTTTTTTAATTTAAGTGTTTTAGGTGTAACCACAGTGACCTTAATTGATTACCTTATACACAGCTTCTCCGCCAATCACAAATACTTTCTCAAGTTTTTCTTTTACCGCTGAAGTGTTCAACCAATCCATTGCTTTATCAAAAGAATCTGTCACATAATCAGGTCCTTTCAGATCTCTGAAATCATATTAAAACATCTCAAAATAGCACACTATAGAGTTTAAAGAATATTTTTCAAGCAAAGATTGCAATTTAAAAAAAAAATTCATTTAAAAACTTTATTTAAAATTAAACAATGTTTAAACTTTAATAAATATATTATAAAAACATTATTTTGTTTGTACAGTTTATTACCTAAGAGAAATACAATCATTTTATTTTAATTATCTTTTTAAATATTATTATTTTGTATTTCGCAGATTGTAGAACGCAGTTTATATATACATATAAACTGCGTTCTACAGCATTTTTACTGATGTGGTGCTCTAGAAACCATAAACTAACTATAAACTAAAACTAACTAACCATATTGAAACTATAAACTAAAAATATCATTATGTATGCATATAAACATTATACAATAAACATGTATAAATACACATATTTATACACGGAAGTCTACCGTTTATACAACTAGAGGTGTTACTCAAAACTGAAGTGGACATTATCTTTATTAGATTGATAAGGAAAGAGGAAATACCGGGGAAATGCCAGTTAAAATAAAGGGAGAAAATAAATAGAAATTCTGAATTGGTTTTAAAAGATACATATTCTTGAGAAACATTCTTTCCTTCCCAGATCATGTTCATATTTACGGGGTGGAGACATAGGGAGTAACATTCTTTCATTAGCATTGACATGATAATGACTACAAGACTCCTTTCTACTGAGATATGAACTTAATTAACCAAAACCCCTTTTGTTTTCAACCAAGAATTAAACTACGTTTTGGCAAAATTTATTTGGTTTTTATTAATATCTTTCCCACAAATTTTTAGTGCACCTGCAAATGTATTAACAGGAGCAGTTATTTTGACTTGATAAAAAACGATGATAAATATAGTATTGGAAGGTCAACAGTGTACGACATAAAAAGGGAAAACGGATACTGTTAGATTACTTTTCCGAGTTCACCTCTTGTGATGAAAGATCAAAAGTATATTTGAACTGCAAAGAATGAAAATTAAAATAAAGTAATATCCTAAAAATTTTGTAAAAGAAATAATTCACATTTCATAAAGAGAATCATTCCAGAAATTTTATTATTATACACTGAAATGAAAATATATTTACCTAAAATAATATTAATTATTTCTAAATAAGAAAACAAGCATATCAGGAAGACATAATAAAGAGTAGGCACTAAGCAAATAAGATTAGTATTAATTAATTAAATATAATTTTACTTTAGTGATTAAACTTGTGCTTGAATCATTGAAAAAAACAGCTACATATTTTTGGAATGAATGGAAAAAAATATCAGTAAGCCATAAAACATCTTTTATAAATATTCCATTTCTATAAAGAGTATTAAATGATTTAAAAATAATAAGCAATTTTCAATTTGTTATTGCATCAGATATGTGTTAAATGCATTCACCATAAATATTTTATATACATTATTTTACTTTTGAAATCAATCATAAAAATCAAAAGAAGGAAATAGTAGCATTCCAAGATGTATTAAGATACGCAATTTCAACTTGCAATTGTTTAAGTTACTAAATTAATATTGCAAAATATTTGCCTAACTAACTTTATAAAACCAGTTTTAAACTGGTTCCTTGACTGCAAAAAATTTGTAATGAAAGATAATTTAAACTTAACTTTAAATATAGATAAAAATGGAATAAATTCCACTTATGTATTTTTTTAGAGTAGAACCAGTTTTTTTTTTTTTCAAATAAAAACAGGTTTTCTTGGATTGAGCCTTTATTGCTAAGCCGTACATACTTTAGCTTTGATTCCATGATAGAAATTTTTTTTTCCATTCCACTTATGTATTTTTTTAGAGTAGAACCAGTTTTTTTTTTTCAAATAAAAACAGGTTTTCTTGGATTGAGCTTTTATTGCTAAGCCGTACATACTTTAGCTTTGATTCCATGATAGAATTTTTTTTTTTCAGCAGCGATGAAACACAGAAAACAAATGTTAGTTTACTTAAATATAGTAAAATACTAAAATCAATCTTGTTAAATCATATTTACAATATAGTGGACAAAAAACAATACAATATAGTGATCCATAGCAACTGCCGTATTACATGTCTATCAATTGCATGGGGTTCACCTATGCAAACCAACTTAAAAAGAAAGATTTTCAACCACTCTTTTCAAAAATTTAAAAAGACACAAAAATACATCATTGCAATTAAAGGAGAAAACTATTGTGAATTAAGAAAAAAATATTTTTTAATTTAAACAGCCAATAAAACCTAAAGGTTTTACCAGAATTATTTTGTAAAGTAAAGGAAACAAAACTGTAAGAGTTTCAATGAATGAAACTGAGACAATCTTGGGATAAAATAATGAGATAAAACTAAGAGCAAAATAAAATACTCACAACTGAGTTGTTGTAAGGACAATATTAATCCTGTTAGCTAAAGGCCTCATTTTCTCAGGAATTGAAAACCATGTCTTGCGGCCCATTATAACAGCATTTTTCTTCTCTGATAATAAAATACGAAGAAAAAAAAAGATACAAAATATTACTGAGATTCAAAAAATTTTATCTTAATGACTAAGACATAAAACAATAAGAAGAGGATTTTTGTTTAAATAAGTCAATTTTTTCAATTTTCGGAAATTAAGGAATTAAAATAAATTAAAAAGAACCAACTTATTGACATTCTTCAAATAGAAAACAAAACCTAGACATAATGTATGTTTTGTCAAAGAACAGTTTAAAATTAATTATTTTTAAAACTGATTCAAAATAATTAATATTTGGTTTTCAAAAAATTCAAACTTTGTTAATAAAATCTTCAAACTATACATATTTTAGACTCCTGAAAAATTAAATTAACTCATAAATATGGGTCTTTTAAGGAAATACCTGAATTCGAAATATTTCTCAAAAATGAAGAATTGTAAAAGTGCATGTACAAGGTGAGAACAATTATAACAATTCAAAAGACGCAATTAATTCAGAATAAAAACCTATTTAGCAAAATTAATAAGTAGCATCGCAAATGCTCAACCTTTCTAGAACAAACAAAAATAGTGGATTTTTTGAGTTTGATCCAGTTTAGCAAAACTTAATATCAAAACATTACACAAAAAAATAAAATAATAATAATAATAATATCAGAGAGTTACCAGCAGCAGTTTTAATGATAAACAAAGAAACTACATTGCTTGCTATAATAGCTAATTGAAGGAATCAAATACATTTTTATTTCAAAACATAAAGAACTACAACAGTTAAAACAGTTAATTTAACATCTGCTTCACTGCAACATAAATAGCTGTTGATAATAATAGAATATAGATTTGGTTGTTGTTGTTGTTGTTAATTTACGTCGCACTAGAGCTGCACAATGGGCTATTGGCGACGGTCTGNTTTTTTTTTTTCATAGAGTAAAAATACTCTTAGACTTCCTTTTTTTCTTTTTTTTTGGAAGAGTGAAATTCACTTCAGGGGAGTGAAAAATAATTACAATAGAATTCTAGAGACAAAATCAAAAGGGAAAAAAAATTGAGCATTTTGAAATTTTTTGTGCAGTATAAAGTCACGCGAATCGATTTCCTTAAACACGTGTTTCGTTTCGAGACTAGGTTGTTGCTATAAATAAATATCATATAAAAAATATCAGATTTAAAAACTATGGAGCAACAACTGCCGAANGGGAACCGTGTCTTAACGATCAGTCCACTGCGGGACTTTGTTAATAAAATCTTCAAACTATACATATTTTAGACTCCTGAAAAATTAAATTAACTCATAAATATGGGTCTTAATATATCTATAGATTTGGTAAACAATATGACTAGAATTAGGTGGCAGTGATACAGCTTTTTTTTTTTTTTTCATAGAGTAAAAATACTCTTAGACTTCCTTTTTTTTTTTTTGGAAGAGTGAAATTAACTTCTGGGGAGTGAAAAATAATTACAATAGAATTCTAGAGACAAAATCAAAAGGAAAAAAAATTGAGCATTTTTGACATTTTTTGTGCAGTATAAAGTCACGCGAATCGATTTCCTTAAACACGTGTTTTGTTTCGAGACTAGGTTGTTGCTATAAATAAATATCATATAAAAAATATCAGATTTAAAAACTATGGAGCAACAACTGCCGAAAATTTGATACAACTAATGCACTAAAAAGTAAACACTCAATTCGAACTTTCCATAATGTTTGAAATATACCGGGTTATTTAAAATCAAAGTGAAAATCAACATTAATAATTGCCGAAACTGCAATCGAAACATTGCATCAATTTAGGATACTACTGCGGTTTAGTGTTATCTAAGTGTTTATCTAAATGCATGATTCATATATTATGTGTAAATTTCTGTAGAAAAGAAAAGTAAATTTTTTGTTACTTTTCAAAAGAAAAATCGTTCTGCAAGAACTCTGCAAAGTTCTGTGACAATGTCGCTGTAATTCTGCCACGGGAATCCATCAAATGTTAATTTGAATTCCTATCTCAAAGAGTTTCTACTCAAAACTTTGTTATGTCAAATATTTTTTGAAATATAAAACGATTTTTTTCGAAAAAATCCCAAAGTTTATTGTAAACCAATTCTTTTCTATTTAATGCATAATTATTTTTGTCTTACTTTTAAGAATTATCATTGTTGTATTTAGACTTATAGTCAGCTATCATTACATACATTGGTAGTTATTTTTATGTTTCATGACAACTTTTAAGAGTACTATTTTAGAGTATATTTTTCTACTTTTTAGAACATAATTAGCTCTGAACTAGTTATCTCGAAATTTTTTTAGCCAACTTTGAGATATCGAGAGTGTACTGTAAAAAAAAGTAAAATAAAAAATTGAAACAAAGTATTTCAATTTCATTAAAAATTGAGATTCTTTTTCTGTCGCACTTTTTATGATTCGATAGCATTAACAAATTTGAAATCACAAACATTTTCATTTTGTTACTTTAACTCAGGTCCTTGATTTGATTAATAAAATGAAATTTTATTTTTATAAGTGGAATTTTTGCTGAAATATTTGTCAACTTACGCTTAATGTATAAAAATAGTAATAGTTATACAGCTAATGAAGAAGAAGAATTAATAATGATAAATACTATTATGTTTTCATTAATATTGAACCATGCATTTCGATAGATGAAGGTTGACATAGTCTAAGATTAATTCCTCACAAATATACCTTCAAACATATTTAACAGAATGCACTTATGATAAAACTAATTCTTTGTTTATTACTACAAAAATAACTCAAAGTGATACAATCATAAATAAATAAAATCATAAATAAAAATCATAAATAAAAATTATCCGTTACGCATTGCTATAAAAAAATAATTTTATACAGTAATTAAGTTTCAAATGTGTTATGATTTATTTATAATTATAACTATACTTACAAAGGCTCTAAAAGTAAGTTTGAAAACAAATCTGACTTCAATCCAAGAAATCATACGCAAAAATAAATAAATAAATAAAAAACAAGAACCACAGGCACCATTTTTCTTATCAAAGCATAAATTTCTACTCTCAGACAAATGCACTTCAAGAAAAGGTAATGCATTGTGATTCGCACTTTTTTAAATTTTAAGGATTGATTCACTTCAAATTTTAGACTGATCCACTTCTTAATTTTGGGAGATTGATTTAATCCAATTATTCTGACTTTGAATAGATATAACTGTATTTATTCTTCACTAAGCTCATTAAAAAGCAAAAGAAAGTTTTTTAAAGACTGAATAAAAAATAAAAAAAAGCCATCATTTCTTCTTTTATCTCACCACTTTTTGACAAAATCAAAGGAGTCGTGGCTTACGTACATTAGAATGAATATATTTGGTTATGAAATTCAATCCAGTTNTCAAGAAAGAAAATAAATATGAAATGAATAAGTTGCTTTTTACAACTATAAGTAAATATAAAAAATGCCGCCCCAAGGAAAGTGCCGCCCGGTGCGGACCGCACCCACCGCCCCCCCCTAGGTACGCCACTGCAATAAAAATAAAGCTATCATAAATATTGCATCAAAATCTTTAAACTACCAATTGATTTGAACAGCCTTTCAAAAAACATCTGCAATTAATGCACCTTTGAACTCACCTACTTCATTGTTGCAATAAAAACAAAAGAAGTTAAGCAATGTAAAGACTTCTTTTCAGCACTATTAAGTATAAAATAGATATGGATGATAATTATAATTTTAGAAACCTATTGATGTAAATCAATGTCAGGTCAGAACTATATCTATACACAACTGATTTTAAATACGATACAAACTATGATTTTTATTATGGTATAAAAATATTTTCATGATTTAGATAATTTTAAAGTAGTAATTAAATGACATGATTCAAAACAAGTGAAGAGAAACAAGTAAAATTAGTGTACACAAATGTTTTAAAATACATAAATAAAAAAAAAGATTTGTAATCAAACACAAAGGGTTACTTACCTGGAGTTAGGACTGAAGAGGTCAATTCTTTGAAGAAAGCCATTTCTTTCCTACAGTGAAAATTAAGCAAAAATATAATTAACTCTTGGCTTTTAAAATATTTTCTTTTAAAAATAATATAAGTACACTACAATCGTACATATTAGTCACCAAGGTGCCAGAGGTGCTGGCAAAAATTTAAATAAAAAATAAACAAATAATTTTGATTTCTCCAAGGGTGGCTACGAGCAACAATTATCAAGCTGGTTTCTTTCAGCTTTTTCTGTGATGTTTTTTTATTTATTTATTATTTATATAGTCCAGTAGGCATCAAAATTTTGTGACTTTTTCTAGGGCAGACTTACCCTATATCAGGGAAGTTTTCCATGTCATGATCTGTGACAAAAAACCCGCTAGGTCTTCTTCTTCAAGCATTAGATCATGGGACAACTTCCAAGCATCAGATCACGGGAACAAGCATAACGAGATCAACTCGAAGTATATAACTCTTAGCCACCCTCGGGCAAACCTGCAATCATTTTTTTTCTTTAATATTGCCAGTTTAAAATCCATTTGGCATGAATTTAAAATTCATCTATGACCAGTTTAAAATCTATCTCGATGATTGTAGTTGGCATGTTTAATCACGTTACGAAAATATCGCCAATGTAGCAAATGGATTTTAAACTTATAAATTTTAAAAACTCATGTAGATATTAGCCTGAGGTTGGTTTAAAGTAATACACTTCGAATTGGCCCCATTCTACGATTATTATTATTGTTTTTTTGCAACAAGTACCTAGAAGTTGCAAAGACTAGGCGATCATTCTGTCACAGATCATAAGTGAAATCTTCCCAAACAAAAGAAACACGGAAGAAAAGAACGAGATAAATTCGAGACGAGATCCACCTCCTGTCAAGCACATATATATTTTCCTACAATGTATTTTAATTTAAACAGTCAAGCAATATCATTTGACACCTTGGTCAATTCAGGTACCGATATGTCAGTATTCCTTGAAGAAATATTAAGAAAATGATTATTTCTCATTTAGATAGTGAATAACAAAAATAGGAACTCAATAAGTTTAAAAATTCAAGCATTATTCGGATATTGAAAACAATAATATATCAATAAACAATTAGATTTTACAAAAAATAATAATTGAAACAGTTAAGCAAAAATTTGTCATTTACGAAGTTTGTGTCTCATTGAAGAAATAAAACGAAATATATACTTCAAACGCCAAGGTAATTGTCCATTGCTTCCAATGCCGTTATTTTCGCATGCAGCAGCAACTATATGTAGAGTCATTTTAAATCTTCTCATTAACGAGTAAGAATCAAAATGTGTTCGAATCGAAAGCCGCCAAAAATTCCAGACAAGTTTGTTTATTTTTCTTTTCATTGTGCGGTTACAATTAATGCTGGACTCCGCTAACATTTCAATCAGATCTGACTAGTCTTCGTAACCTTGAGGTGTGGTGGAACAAAACTTTTTACAGATGGCGCTTATTAGAATTTTTATACCAGTGGTAATATATGGGAAATCTGACTCGGATTCTAAAATCTGAAACAGATTTGATATTTTCTAGTCTAAAAAGCTTCATTTTAAAGTTTCAAAGATTAGAATTAAGTTATGACATTCATGACAGTTTTTCAAGTTTAGTTCTTTTAATCAAATCGCAAAACTTAAAATAAACTAGAAACACTCAATAAAAACATGGATGAGTATACTGTAATTATTCAGAAGGTAATTGCCACTATCTTCTGAATTCTGTCATTTTGGCTCAATAGAATGTGTTTTTCATAGCCTGTTGTCGCAAGGGAAATAAAAAAAGATTCACAATTCAAGAGAAAAATCTATAATTTTAAGCAATACGGACCATCTTGATGCAAAGAATTATCTGGGCTTTAGAGAGAACAAACAACTAACATACAGTAAAAATTATTAAACTTCTAAAAATTTACAAATTTATTGAGTTTTTTTACCAATAAAAAACCATTAAAATCAATAAATAATTCTCAATTTATGCAACTTTTCAGGAGCCCAGATAATGCAGCGTTGCAGTTCCATAATTAATAGAAATTAGATCACTAACGCTTTTCATTTTCATAAAACTGTGGCTTTTCTTCATATTAATGCTTTGCCCCCATTTCAGAATTAGCTAAAGATTGGGAAAACTAAACCTAACAACATGAATTGTTCAACAGTTATAAAAATTAGCTATAGCATAGTTTTCGTTAAAAGGTGATAAGGGTGAACAATTTTGAGAAAAATCGATTATTATTATAGGCGAAAATTACAATATATGAGCTCATAATAATAACAACTGTAAAATTTTTAAGATTTATAGTTGCTTTTAAAAGTTTAGTTTATATATATTAAAATCACTCCCAGAAATTTAATTTTTCGATTTTGAGAACAAAACAGATATGTTCAACATCAAGAAATAGACAAATCATCTATTATTGGTACCTAAAATTTAGAATCAAATATTTTCAAACTGAATCACATCAGCCATTAGCTCATCTTGATGCTCTGAAATTGTATTTTATTCATATAAATGACGATATTCTTTTTAATGACATTTGCCCCTCCGCACCACTTGAAATTGTATCCTGCCATCTGATTTGTTCCTTTTAATCACCATCGTTTCCCTCAACTACCTCAATTTTACTTTGTTTTCAACATTCACATGTTGGTGGGCCTTGATAAAAAACAACTTGTTAGCACTTGAAACACGTCAACCTTTTCCACCTTAACTTTCGGAGTTAGGCAAAATTTGCCGTTGACTAGTATAACATTAGTTTAAGTCAAGTTAAGGAAATTTTATGATGTATAATGCTAAGCATTACAAAATACGTTGCAAATGTCCTAAGAATTGTTGTAGAAATTGAGAACATTTTTTATTACTTTCTGTACGATATATTAATTAGTTAATTTCCTTCTTCTAACTTTCCAAAGAGTGAAAATGCATAAATTTCAACTGAATATCAGTGATTAGTGTCAATGCAAGTTACAATTGTTTCCTGAATAGTGCAAACAAAGTTTCTATTTTTTTCTAACGAAAACAAGTTAATAAACACACAACTGAAAATAAAAATAAAATAAACGTTTAAGGACTATGGGTTTTAAGTATTACAAGAAAACGAATTTATTTTTGCCCAGCTTAAGACTAAAAACATGGGGTGGGGTGCATCACTTTCGCAATAAACTTCTTAAATCGCGAAAAATCTTCCTTTTTTCGTCTTTAGGAAGGGAACTTCATTACATTTTCGATATTAGGTCCATCAAAAATAAAACTATTCCCTCCTTATCCGTCTATTTAGAAAGTCAAGTTTGTAATTATTTTAAATGTTTCGAGCTGTATTATTCTCAGACCAGACTTACAATATTACACAAAATAAAATAAATTTGTAAGAAATGTCCTATTTTTTCCCCCTATACTTCCTATTTTCACATTCACAACATTGCACGCGAAAAATCCGCGAATACGAATACGGGGATGACAACAGGAACCCGATAAGTGAAATATATTTACCCGCAAAAAACTCGCCAATCAGATTCCAGTTCACTTCTTCAAATTCGCATTCGAATTTCATCGTTGGCAGTCAGAAATGCCCTTTTAGAGGTACCCTCAGAAATTTTCAGAGGTGTATTAAATCCTCAACACGGTTGTGCTAAGTTCCCCTAATTTCTATAGAGGGGAGGGGGACATGGTTCGGGAACTTTAATGAACATATTAGTAATTTTCACTTAATAATCTTCACTTTTTATTATTTTTTTTTAAAAGAAAGTTTAAGATTAGCAAAGTTAAAGCAATAGTGCTAGATAAAGACAATAAGTCATTTGAGAAAATTAGTTACAGGTCTGGGACCGGGATAGCCTGGTTGTCAGGGCACTAGACTCATGTTCGTGAGAACGGGAGTTCGAATCCAGCCAGCCCAAGACTCCCCGTGTAGTATATGGTGACCATTGCACGCTAAATCTGTCGTGTCACAAAGTCCTCCATGTTTCCATTACGAATTAAACCTCTGAGGGTACTGAGTTGTAGATTGATTGTTCTCTGGTTCAGGTCAAAATTACGATCTGTGGCTGAATGAATGGATGCATGAATGGGTCCGCTCTTTAAACGGGTGTGACATATGAATGTGGCAGAAGTCGAATTCTTGGCAACTGGTAAACAAGAACAATCGCAACACTTGCCTAAATGGCCTACACCAACAACAACAACAGCTACATTTTTATTTTTAAACTGTGATGATGAAGCTTTATTCCATTATATCTGTTTCTTGAAGCAGTCGTTGATAAAGATGAAATCAATAACTCAGTATGGAATTTTTTTAAATTTCGTAAATATAAATTCTTAACCTTAATATTAAAAACCTTCTAGATCATGGCGTACTTTCAAGACATGTAGATACTTAAAATGTTGCAACATAAATTATTGGTGTATTTAGAATATAAAGAAATGCATAAATTTAGGGTATAAATTTTATTAAAGAGTAAAATATTACAAGTTATGTGCAAAAGATGTATAAAAAACATCATACATAGCAACAAGAAACGGTGCAAATAAAATTGTAAAACATAAATATTACTTGTCAGCGACAATCTTTCTTACTGATGTCATATTACAGGTCTTCTATAAATTCTGCACAGTTTAAACAATAAAATACATTATTTTAAAACTAAAAGAAAATACCAATTCTAATATCGGATAAGTTTCGATATTGTTTATTACGCAAGAATGACGTCAGGTAGGTTTTGAAACATTTCGCCTGGTGCGAGAATATGTTTTTTTTTGTTGTCATCTTTTTTCTTTAAAATTCTTTTTTGTATGGATTTAATGTCAAAAGAATAGTTTACAATGATAGAACCACCAATTTTTTTGAAACTTCGTTTAATAAGTTAAAAACAGGACCATCAACTGCAGCAACGCAGTACCTATGTAAGTATATTTTACAACTTGTCTATTATAAATGAAAATCTACAGATGAGTCAATGAAAACTAATAATAATATTAAGAATTTCTTGCCAAATTGCATGTTTCAATCCATAGATTATTTTATTTTTCAATAACGCACTCAGCTAACGTGAATTTTCTTTAGATAAATTCTTTATAATTTGCACATCTTTAATTTCTCAGGAGGTTATGCAAATCGTCAAACTCTCCCGTGAAAAAAAAAGAAACTTCCGTTAATATGAAAAGAATTTAATAGCTGTCTAAGTGTTCGCACAATTCATACGTGCATCAAAAACGAAACCAAATTCAAGTGTTCCGATGCATTTAATCTGTATTACGTATGTATTTACAAAAGCTTCATTTGTGCAACAGTATGTAGTGCATAGCGTATTTACAATGTACATAAACTTAAAAATCCGTAGAAGTAATGAAAAAAAAGAGAAAAGTTAAAATGTTTAAGTTTCCAGTCACTGTCGGCCCTATATAATTGAATCTCAACTCCATTTTTTTATCCTTTATTTGAACTGTCTAAAAATGACGATTTTAAAGATAAATTTTTTAAATTGTTGTTTCTTTACTCTCTCTGATACAGGTCAATTTTGCAAGGCATTCGGTGAGTAAGTAAGTAAGGTATTAGTACTGGTTATAAGTCAAAAATTTTATGTATAAGAAAATAAAATAATTGTCTGAAGTGTTCTATTTGGTTTTAAATATCGATTACGATTTCATTTATTGATGGTTAACAGCGTAAAGCTAAGTGCAGATGACGCTAGAGGTTAAAATTCGTCATATGACTTCCGGGTTACCACTTCCGATTGATTTTTACGCCTAAGAGTGAAAAAACGCACCATCCAATATTATTATGATTGCAGTGTTTTCAACATAACGCATTCCTGCAATCTAATTTTCAACGAAACAAACAACAAATGAATACGAAAATCTCCGCAAGCTTGCTATGAAGCAGCTCAAAAATAACAAACGGTGCTATTTAATACAAATATATAGCCAAATAAGGGATAATACTCAAAATATGGCTAAACTTTCATTTTTTTATGCTGTGGTATTAATTTTGTCTTAAAAAAGAACGAAACTAAAAGTAAAAACCAGCAAGAATTGCCTATTTAAATCATAGTCTTGATTTCGAATTTTAGAATTGATTTCGAATTTCTTTTTTTTCCTCACTCTTTTTTCGTTCTTAAAATAGTAAATTCTAGGAATGAAGTAGTAGTAGAATAAGCTTTAAACTGTGTTTCAATCGTAATCGATTAGTGATAAGCTGACAACTAGATAAGTGTTATTCTTTCTATATCATATAGAAGGAATAACAATTTGGTCTGGAGGACGGATTCAAACATATTTTATGATAAAATATAAAAACGATCCTATTTAATACTTCTAAACAGCAGTAAATCAAAATTACATTAAATAAAACATAATTTTTGATAATTTAGT